CCCCCGCGCCCCCGCCCGCGCCCCGCGCGGCGCCGCACGCGCCGGCACTCGCTGCCAAAGGGCGGTCGCTGGCTTCAATAATTCAGCCGGCGACCAACTGCGCCTCGTCTCGCGCCTCCCTCTCAGCTCGCCGCGCCCCACATCGCGCCCTCTCACTCGCGCTGTTGCGCATTTACTACATTTTCTGTACTCTCTCTTTCTCTCTCCCTGTATCTGTGTATCTGCGTCTCGGTCGCACTCATTAGGCGGGTCTCGTGTCGTGTATTATGCAGTGTTTGGCGAACGTTTTATAAGGTTTGCGCAACGATCTATAGAGTACCTCTCGGGACAGAGACTACAGGATTACTTTCAAAATATGTACACAATAATAAAAACTTGTGATATTTTATTGTGAAGGATATCTCAATTCATTCAGACGGTAAAAGAAATATAAAATTGGTTTACGAAAAATATAGGTAATTCAACTGACATAGTTATTACTTTTTATTTTATTTTACTTCATAAGTATCTACCTACGCAACAATCTTAACTCGTCGAGTACCTAGGTATCGTCAATATAGACACAATTAAAGAACAATAGGTTACGGTCACCGGTGACCGCAACCTATTGTTCTACACACTACACATGCCATATTCTAGGTTTCTGGACTACGATTAGTTCGTACATCGTTTGTTACATACATAATTAATTGTGTACTAAGGAGTGCAATTCTTTGCCAGTCTGTGGTTTCTGAACCTGCGTGTCTTCTAGGCCTGAGCCTGAGTGAATAGGTTGCTTATGGGCAGACGTGCTCCATCTCCATTGTAGGCCACATCATTTTATACCACCAGGCGAAATAATCGCCAAACGAGGACCTGTCCAAATATAGGTAAGTACATACAAAAAGTCGGTTAAAAAAAAAGAGCCAGGATTGACGGTAATTACTTCCTGACACAAAGTTAACAGATGATAGGGCGTAGTTGAAAATTTCATCCACATTAGTTACCCGTCCTGACTGACCTAAAAGGTACTCAAATATTTAACCTAGTTACCTATTACCTATATGAAGTATCATAATAATTCATTATTGATTTATCAATAAACAAAGTACCTCTATATTCTTATGTACACATGAAAGTACAAATTCATATTTTATACCAAGTAGGTAATTGTTAAAACTAGCCTAATACTTACCTATGCTCTTTGAGTTCAAATATATACATTTTGATGAATAGATTTCCTTGTAGACTTCTATATAAATTGTGAGCACTGTAGCATTCATTTCTGTGGCAGGATTGTAGCATTCATTTCTAAATTGTGAAGACTAGTAACGACATCTGTTTGCAGACAGTGATTGTAACTGTGGCGCCAGCTACGTCACTATACTTGCGGGAGCTGCCTGCCATAATAGAGAAACTCAACCGCAGTCAAGTCAAACTAGATGGCGCTGTGTCAAATGGAGACGTGACCTGCACCTTTAAACAATCTCCCGTATTCGGTAAGTTTGAAGAGATTTCAGTACATGGTTTATTGGCATATAGAATTAAATGGCTGATTTTTTTACGACTCAGATAGACTAGATGTGATGTTTAAATGGTTTTGGATAAAGAAATTCAATACCTTAATTTTAGGAACCTAAGGTAATATTACAAGCATGGGAATCTACACATAAAATAAAACACCAGTAAATATTTTAAACCAACTTTATTTTTAGCTAAAATATAATAATTCATACATCAAAGAAGTTCCCTAATTATATAGTAATAATACCGAGATAATACAAAAAGAAAAAAAATAAAAAAAACGTATTACAATAAAATAGTAAAAAGTTAAAACAAAAGAAAATAAAGTAGCTACCTCAGGATAGTTCGGGACACACGGCGTGTGGGGGGGAGGGGTGGTCGGGGGGGGGGGACTGCTTTGTGCGGAGTTACGAGTAATACTCGAACTGTTCAGATCTTACTAGTAAGGGAGGAGGGGGGACTGGACGGTTGTCAGGTGGACATCAACAAACTATACAGGGGGCAACGAACAACTGTCCGGCGAAACAAATCGTTGTACGAAATAAAAAATGGCACTAAAATTGTTCATCTACTAACGAAATAATTTAGAAAGTCAACAAGTGCCGGCCACGCTGGTCGCTGCCCCGGGCGGGGCTGGACACGCCACACCCAACACAAGAGAAGAGAAACAGCACGTGACGTCACTACAGTTACACCGATGATTATGTCCACAACATTGCTTACAGTCCTTCTTACACACAACTATGCTAATATGGCAAACGGTCCTTGATATGCAACGTCCGAGAGAGACAGAGCGAGCCAGCGCCGCGCGTGCGAGCAGGACAGAACATAGAACAGATCCTACCTATACTTAGGTCTACACGACGTCTTCGTTTGCCATCCGCCAGAGGTCGCGAGCGTCACTAACACATAGCCACTTAGTACCTAATTGTTAGTAAAAATCCCTTAACGCATTCAAAATATATATATAATTAATATAGTTCATTATATAGTAGCTGATCCTAAATCGATACCATCTGTATAATGTGTATAATATCGTACATCTATTTATTTCTCAAATAACTCTGTGCCTAATATACATTTAAGCCGATTTTGTCGAGAAGCTCGTAAAGGGTTAAGTGTTGGACATTTTTTGTCGAAAGACAAATACTTTAAAACCTACACACATGGGGAGTCACGAAGCGTTTGTACCGTAACATAAATGCGTCTTTTTCCCTTGTACTAAACTAAATGCGGACAACGGCGGGGCCACGGGGGGGCGCCACGTGTCCCCGCCCTGCAACTGAACGTTGAACCAGTGAAGCGCACGTTACCTTATGTATCCAATAATATACAACATAGTATCTGACGCTTACATACTAATTATCCTCTTATGACCGATTCCATACGAAATTACAACGACTACGATTTAATACATACAGGTTTTTTTCATTTGTCTTAAGTGTAGAAACGAATAGAAAAAGTGTAAGAGCTCTATATTTAGAACAACGACATATTTCCTTCTACGAAAGCAAGCGAGGAGACAAAATAATATTTCGTTTTACGTATAAATTTGATATGATCATTTTTTAAAGACCTTAGAATAGACTACAAATAAAATGTATGACGTCGCGAGCGATGTCAGGGAGCGACTCACGCGCAGCCAGTGACGTCACACGTTACTTACTGACAGGTGATTGACAGCTGGGGAAAATCTGCGGTTGTCACATTGAATATTCGAGTCGTTCAGCTAGATTTTCGTGTTCCAATAATCTCAATAAATGTAAAAAATAATCTCAAATTGTGCAGCTGTCATTCTCGTGCCAGTAAATGTCGTGTCGTGTCGTGTCCGTCCCGTGCACGGCTCGCGACGACATACGAAGTCTTGTGCCACGCGTGTGTTTGTGCTGAAAGCTTCCATATAACTACGTAGGTACGATAACCGACTGACGCGGGTTTGAAATCAATTCCGTTTCCGAAATGTACTGAATATCTCGCTTTGTTTCGAGTTGCGATGTTTCTATACACGAAGAAAATAGAAAAGTAATATAGATAATGTCCCATACTGGGCTATACATTAAGTACGTCCGGCGTACTTCGACTACGACTGCCTTAGTATATTCACAAGAATATATCGTAGACGAAAGCTGCCATAATATATCTTACTTTAGGAATACGACGACAAAAACAATTTGATTGAAGACTCGGGTTTATCTAGTTGCAAGTTAATTATTCATCTTTTTTAATTCTCTGTTTCTTCAGAAAAATTGGTTTTGTTCATCATAGAATACATCTTAGAGACAGAAAAAGAAACTTCACAAAACATTGCGCTGTATACAAGGCATTGCTGTTGATATGACGGTCGGACGAGCGCAATGAATTGCAAACAAAATAAAAAGTAGGTACAAATACACTTCTGAACATTTATGTACTTTTATTGTAAACGCAGCTCTATTTAGATGTGTCTAGAGTGTTTATTACTTTGTTGCGAAGTATGTTTGTACGAGTGTCGTGTATGGAAACCCCGCAGATGAAGTAGTGCGCGAGGTGCGCGTGCGCATTACATCGTGCTGTTGTCCCACTCCAGTTGGCTGATGTTTCTGTACTTGTGCTCCTTGCCTGGCATCACTGTACGAACGACAAAATGACGTTATTCATATGTATAATTAATTACATATAGGTAATATTTTATTGAAACAAAAGTAAGACTGACCATGAACATACATTGTAATAATGTCGAATATAAATGAACAGTAGAAGTTATAAAGTATGGTTACCTTCGTCGTCGTCATCGGAGGAGTCGTGGTGTTCGGAGTCGGAGTCGGAGCACGACTCCCCGTCCGAGCTGTCCGCGCCCGCGTGCGTGCCGCACGACGGGACCGACTGGGGGGAGGGGGGGAGTTAGTAAAGATAATACTTCAATTACTATATTTCCAACTACAAAGGTCGACACACTGTTACTCCTCTGGTGTTCCGAATGTCGATGGGCGATGTAAATTACTTACCATCAAGGGACTCAATTGTTCATGTTCATCATGTCAACTTTTGCTGAACTTTGAATACTTAATGCTGATTTCAAAATCATATAAAAAGGGTGGGAGTATTTTATCTATGCGATTATAGTTTAATACCACTTGTCTACCTTGTAACTTTAGTTCACTAATGAGTTGGATATTTACCTCTTCCATGGGGTTGACAGTGATGGTGAGTGCGGAGTCATCCCAGGCCATCTCCGCGTCCCCGCGGGGGCGCAGCGCGTGCAGCGCGGCGGGGGCGCGGGGGGCGCGCGGGGCGCGGGGGCGCGCGCGGGAGGCGCGGGCGCGGGCCAGCGCCACGCCGCCCACCACCACCAGCACGCCCATCGACACCACGCCTATCAGCAGCGCCACGTGGTCTGCGCACACACACGTCTTTGTTTATAACAATAATAATGAAACGGTTATTTTATGCAAATGCATTTGAATTGAACTCCAGTGCATACAAAAGCTGAAATATATCACAACCAGCTATTACCCGCGGCTTCGCTCGCGTCACAAAAGGATAAAAAGTAGCCTATGTGACATATACTAATACACACAGCGCCATCTATACCAATACTTTGTTTTTCCTCGGGAATATAATTTTTTTCCGGGATAAAAAGTACCCTATTATTTATTCCGGACTTCTAACTTTACGTCTGCAAAAATTCGAAGCAATCGGTTTAGTAGTTACGGCGTGAAAGCGGAACAAACAAACAAACTCACTTTCCGATTTATAATATTAAGTAAAAAAGTAAGGATATCGTCGTGTGTTTAAGGCGACAGAAATCGAAATACGATAACAGTGTAAACAATTTAAGGACTTCAAACATGATGAAGGTTAATTTAATTCTGAAAGTGAAACAATAAGCTGAGTAAAAGATTTCTTATTCTGTCGTACCATTGTTGTTTACTCTAAAGATTAGTGTATTTTTACGAAACGTGTTCTATGTTTCTTTTTTAAAATGTTTAATTTTGTATCGCCAATTTAATTAAAGCTCTATTAAAAGTCTCTAATTTTATGTTCCTTTAAGATAAGAGTGTTGATTTCGTAAGCAGTAGTTTTTTTTTTATTTCAGGTACTAAAATTTTATTGTTTTTGTTTGTTTGTATAGATTTTATGTATGACTTAATTGTAAAGTTGGTTAACCTATAATTGGCGACTGTAGAAGCCTATTGTTACCAGTATTATCTCTTAATACTATGTATACAGAAGCTGCTGTATAATTAAATAAGTGTGGTGGTGCACGTACTGGTGGGCTGGTGGTCCCGCAGGTCGATGAGTCGTGGCGCGGGCAGGTCGGCGGCGTGCGCCTCGCGCTGCGCGTGCGCCGCGTACACGCGCGGGGACAGCGCGTGCGCGCCGCGGTGCGCGTGCTCCGACTGGAAGGGGGACATTGTCATACATTGCTTTGCATTTTACACAAGAATTTGCAAATGATCATGAAATATTATTTGTTGTTGCACTTTTAGAAAAATTCAATAAAAATCTTGAAATGAAATGAAAAGCCCTTGTTAATTAAATAAATACAAACCTGTTTGTCACGTGCGACGGCGTCCATCTTGTCTGCCATGCCGCTGGGATGCATCTCCCGCGCCAGGCCGGCCTCACTGGCTCCAGACATGTGGGGGTGCACCACTGTCAACTGGAATATATAGACAAACATAAGTAATTAATATCGCATGTAGTTACTGAAGGAATTTCATACTTTAAGAAACTAAAATTTTAAAGAACCTCTAAGCTAAGGTAGATGACACTTAACGACATTTTTAACCGACTTCAAAAAAAAAGAAAGATCTCATTTTGACCGGTGTCCGTGCACGATTATCACCCAATTTGCTGAACCGATTTTGATGCCATTTTCAGAATTGTTTTACACTTAGCTTCAGTTTATTAATAAATCGACCTCAAAAAAGAGGGGGTTTAAGTCAGTTTTATTTAATTTATAAAAGAAATTTGGTTTTCACCAACCACCATTGGTAAGAAATTAGTTTAGCTGTTGCGTCACGTCAAGTAGCTGTTATTTTAGAGATAGTGAGTTGTTGGTGAAAATGACTTATGTATAAGGTAGAAGATGTCCACTATCAATGTCCAGTCAGTAATGGTCTCCTCTTTAAGGGGGGAGGGGGGAGAGAATTTGCTATAATCTTCAGAACTGGCAAACGGCAAAGGATCACTATTAGGTCGTGGCAAATAGAGGAGTTGCTCCATATCTCATGTTGATCATTGGGTTTATTGAGCCTCACGTAATTTCACTCATTCCTTTTTCTGTGGAAATGATTTCACTCCGGTTGAACGTATCGAAACTTTGAATTATCGCTCTTATTGTTTATATAACAAGGTATACATTGCACGTACCGTCTGCACGTACTCGTTGCTGGTGAAGCGTCCATTGAGCTCGGAGCACGTGAGCTTGAACACGCGGTTGAGGTAGTAGGCAGGCTTCTTGTTGCTGTAGATTATGTCGCGGAGGACCTGCAGATTACGATATAATGTTTCATATTAATTACAACGGTCACATCAATGACAGCAGTTCATTAATTTGTTATAAAATCATTATATCAATATTACGATAAAACGTTATAAATAGTCAAAAATTGCCTTCCAAAAAGTATAAGTAACTTAATCAAAATAAATTTTGTTCTTATACGACTTCCTATTAACCCATAGTTGTAGTATTGTAATCAGTTTCGCAGCGCACTTGTGACCCCTGGCATTGATAATGGCTTACCATCAGGTGATCTATCAGCTCATTTATCCCTTATCCAATAAACAGTAATATTTAATATACCTTCTGGTAGTTCTGTACAGTGTCGGCGCCGGTGAGTATGACTCCGTCCCGCGTGACTGCCGCGCGGATGTCGTACCGCAGCGGTAACTCCGCCACGTCGCGCAGGGACAGTGCCTCGTGGTCCGGGTTCAGTGCCGGGTATACTGATACTACGCACGAGTCCAGCTTCTGGCTGTCTTCTGTTGGGGTAATATATAGGGTTAGTTGATGAAATATTGAAGTTAGTTTAAGTTTGGGAAGCATGAAGCATGAATTCAATTTTGTATAATTTATTCTTTTCTCTTTCTATTGTTCTAAAAACGCGTTCGTGTCTTTCTCTATGGTAGAGGTCAACTATACATGTATTCGACTGTTCCGGAATTGATTTACGATAAAAATCATTCTATATAAATCAGTAATTACACAAAGCTAAGCGAATTCTACAGTAAGTACACATTTAAACATAACAATAACAAATCTCTTATTCATTGAATCCGACAAATAGGTACCTAGTACAAATGGGAAATAAGTCACCTCTATTCGCTTTAAGTATTCCCTCAGTCAACCATCTCAAAATATCTCTTTTCTATTTCTATACGTACGGAGAAGGACATGCGCTAAATTCATTCGAGTCACGTCGCTGATTATAAACATACAATAAGATAATACAAACCAGCCATAGCGTGTCCATTTCCTCCAGACAAGACCCTGACTGCGAGGTCTGGGAAGACAGTGAGTCCAGTGCGGAAGTGTGTGTAGTCCCTGGCCAGGTCCTCGCTGCCGTTCAGCAGGATGGACGGGGTCTGCGGGGCCAGCACCATTATGTACGACTCGGCGGGCCGGGCCTTGATCATGCGGCCGTTGTCGCAGCTGGAAGGAAGAAATACGTTAGGGTTAGACCACAATAATGTTTGAGAGTGTTATTTGAAACTTTCTATGAGTTTGGACTTCATCGATTCGATAATTCTCACTAGTTACACTGGCTTGTTTATAGTACTTTAAGTGAATACTGTATCGCAAATATCCTTTTCTGAAGATAAAATGTATAATACCGTTCGTTTGAGTAAGATTATCGGAGCACGCAGGCAATGGTAACTTTGTAGGTGTTGCGAGTGTCCATAGATGGCACCAATTGCTTACCATTAAATGACCTTTTTGATTGCAGTGGCGTGCAGACCATATAGGCAAAAAGGCTTTGCTTGACATAAAATGTACAAACGCGTTTATTAAGATTCAATAATAAAATAAAAGTTTGTAAAAAAACGGCTAACATAAATATACATTCACATATACTATACACGGACCGCACGCCTTTGTAAAGCAATGAATGCGCCCCGCACGCACCACGCATGCGCTACTATTCCTTAAATCTTGGTTGTTGGTTGTGACGTCACAAAAAGTATGCAACGCGCATGCGTGAAGGTCACGTGACTATGGTCACAGCAGAGAATAACCATTCATAAACGCAAAAAAGTCATTGCTGCCGGCCTTTGAAATTTATGAATCTGCGCCATCTATTGAATTTTTTGTTAAAACTTCTGAACACGTTCGATATAATGCGAATGTCTTTTTATAATTATGCATACTAAAAAAATATGTTTCAGGTATTTTAATTAAATCTTAACATTTTTACGCGTTGTCGGTTTACAGAAACTTTAAACGAGGAGTTGACTTTATTATTTTAAAAGTAAAAAGGAATAACTTTTGAGTAGCGGCAACTTGACGTTTTGATAACTCAAAGTTTCAAATTGTTATCAACGAATGTTTCTTATTGGAAAATAATAATAAGACAATGACGGAACTCCATTTGACTTATGTAAATTAACGTTTTGTTTTTTTATAATTAAACACTGGGTTGCCTTAATGTTATAGCTATAATTTTTTTATAATAAACACTCAATTGACTACGATGGGTTCATTCATTCCAATGTTTTCGGCCATATTGTTTTCATGTGATGTGCGATCGCTTTGTTTATGTTTTCGTTTAAATTATAAGGAATTAGTTTTAAACATAAAGTTGCATAAATATGTGTAGAAGTAGTTAAATGTATGTGTAGGTTTTTCAAATAGTGTATTTGTTTATCAGTGTCTAGTACAAGTACCTATATTATTCGATTGTGAAGTTTGTGTTGATAATAGATAATTTTTTGTGTTTGTTGAAAGTTAAAAACAGTAAGTTTTCGCAAAAATGTGTCCTACAACGACTAGATTCAGGTAATGACCATAGGCAGTACTCAAGTTACGAGAATTGACCCAAGTCAAAGGTAGGTAATGTAAATATTATGTACTTTAATGGATCTTTTATTGATTTTCTTGTTTGATAATTCTTAAAAATATCAACTTAGACTTCGGGTTGTACTGATTTACATATTAATTTATTATTAATAATTATGTAATGTAATAACAAATGTACCGCTTATAAATACTCGGCTCGGCCACAGCCGGCCGCGCTTGTTATTGTTTTGTTTGTTGGTAGGTACCTACGTTCTTAAATTCGTAATATATTATGATTTTGAATAGATTATCTAGCAATTCGATAATTGAATTTGGTTCATCAAATTTATGCTTCATTATTAGTATAATTAAACTGTCAAACACCAAGCGGTCACCGGTGACCGCAACCTATTGTTCTTTAATTGTGTCTATAGTGACGGTGCTCGACGAGTTAATAGATGTTCAGTTATTTGTAAGTTTTGTTGGCTTATTCCATAGCTGATGAAGTAGTTCATAAAAAATACGCGAGATGTCAGTGTATGTAATTTGGCGACAGAATAAACCACAATATTCGTGAACGCACTTTTCAAAATGTATTCTGTACATGTAGGTACCTGTCTTGTGTGAGTATGATTGTCATTGTATAATCGGGGGGGAGGGGTTTAATCTAAAGGGGGTTAATCATACGATATTTAATTGCCTACCCTGTCTCGAAAACCTGTGCACGCCACTGTTTGATTGTATGTCTATAATCCCATGAAGTGTACGTTAATGGAAGAAAAATATAGTAGTGACGTGTTACATACGTGATGGTAGTAGCGACATGTACGTTCCTGCGGCCGGGCGTGGGGAAGGCGCGCGCGTCCCCGTACGCCACGCGGCGGAGCAACGTCTCCACGTCCGCCACGCCGTCACCCTCCACTGACACCGACTTCAGGTCTGGAACATACACAAAAAAAAGAAATTGAAATGCCTGAGACATATGAAAATAAAAACAGATTGTTTTTGATAGAGGGAGAATATTGAAGATGCAGAAGAAGGCTGTTTACCAAGTGTGCTAATAACGATCGTGACACTCAATTTCTTACAAACCAGTTCGGGGAATGAAGCTTGAAACTATTCGAGCATTATCGAGAATATTGCATGAACAATCAGTTAAGATGAATTAAAATGTAGCATGTCTCGCGAGAGTTAGTATACAAGAAAATATAGAAAAGTAGCAGTAAGAATAGAGCGCGCACGTACAGAGGTCTGGCGCCAGACTGAGTCCCTCGCGGCAGTGCGCGAGGCAGGCGAGCGCGCGCGCGGGCTGCACGGCGCCGCGCGCCACGCCCAGCCCCGCCAGCCAGCCGCGCAGGTGGTGCTTCATGTCGCTCTCCGTGCCTGCGGGACGGACGATTACACAACCAAACGATATTAACATGTATGAAAAAAATCAGAATACAACAATGAACACTGCTCATGAATATGAGCCTCTAGCATAGCTTGAAACTAGTTGAGTTCCTCGTCAAACAATTACGTGAGTAAGCCGAAAACATAATAATTAACACAATACAACATTTGAGCATTTTATGACTAATTTGTACAATGTTTCTTTTGTTATTTATATAATATAGATATATGAACTCTTGACGTGTTATAATGGACGCAAATTTATGCTATATAAAAATAATCAAAGTTTTGAGTGAGTCAATGTTTAATATCCCAGGAATGTGACTTATACTTCCTAGCAAACAAGTTTTTATAACTTAAAGAGGTCTTGATAATGTCAAAAAGTATTCAGTCACGGTCAAACCTACCTTGCCAGCAAGCTCCAATAACCAGCGTAGTGTTGACTCCATGCGCCGGATGCAGCGGCCAGTCGTCGATGACCTCCGGCCCCTTGGCGTCGGGTGCGCGGTAGGGCTCTCCGTCCACGAACAGCTCCACGTTCGGGAAGCGCACGTTCACCGCGTAGTGATGCCACTCGTTGTCGCATACCTACCACAACAACGCAAAATATTCATATACCGAATAACTTATCTTCGTTTAATCAATTCATGACCGATCTTAATATTAAAGTCCTGCATCGATTTAAGAAACTCCACAAGACTAGTCCAAAAAATCAATTTCAATCTTAAGATATTAAAGGCTCAAGCAGAGTAGATGCGTAGACGTAAGCGTGGACGTGCATGCACCAACGAGACGTAATTTATAGTAATGTACGTTGACGCGGTTATTTAATTTAGCCATAAGTCGTTTACAAATACATACACTTTACACTGAGATCCGAAACAATTGTAAATTGCACTAGCAGTTATAGGACAACGCAAGCAAATTTCAATAAAATAGTTTTATGTGCCTGATTCAGGAATCAATACAACTTCTTTAACTATTTTTAACACTCATACAAGACAAACAACATTATTATCTTATTATCGTGTCAATATGTGTTTGTATGTCCGTACCTCAGGTAGCTTCCACCTCCACTCTGCAGGTCGGAATATATTGAGGTCTCCCTCGCCGAAGTCACGGCGCAGCAGTAGGATCAGGCGACAGTTGCGGACGAACAGAGCGTAGTGGTGCCGGTTCATTTCTAGAGGGGGGCAAAGTCAAGAGTTGTTGTAAATACTGTAAGTTTTGTTGTCTTTATTATATAATCCCCCCGATGAGTATTATTGCGCTTAGAAGACCAAAATCGGTTGTGGGTGGTGAAAGGCTGATGCAGGTCCCTCCATGTATATTGGACCAGAATAAGACTCTGGGTTGACCAAACTAGTTGGAAAAATGTAGAACATAAAAAATTGGTATGTCATCTATTTCAAAGCCACTCCATGTCCATATTAAAACTGTTTTTGCGTTTTAGGTTTCCAACGCTGATACAGCACTACACCTGCAGCTGTTGTACTAATACAGAGTCCAGTCTACGAATACACAAGACACTAACTATGATCATCAGCGAGACACAGCACGTGTTCCTTGCGATGTTTGTCGTTGTCAGGCGGCGGTGCGTGCCTCATCCAGGTGGATATACTGAAGGTGCCCAGCAGGGCGTGGGGCAGCACTGACTCCGGCACCACGGCCGCCGTCGTCTCGCCGTCGAACTCGAACATCTGCTCGCCGTCACGACCTGTAACATTGTAATTAATGATTTAGACAAAAAATGTAAGAGGTAACATGTATTTCTCTAGAGTAAGTAGGTTGCTAAAATGACAATTGTCCTAGATTAGGGAGTATACTAACCTGAGTCTGGTTTCAGGGATTTCGCCCATTCGTTTCCTACTCCGGGGCTAGGCAGGAGGTCGATCGTTTTCGGGTCAAGACCTGGAAAAATTAAAGTATACAATGTTGTAGAATTTTATATTTTAAATCAAATGACAAAGTTTGATTTCATTAACAGTTAGTTATGAAATTCATCAAACTCATGAACAGCTTGCAACACTAGACATGTTGCGTTGGGAGATGACCCGTGGTAATTCAGCGATCAGCGCCCAGTAAGCACCACGCGCCACTCACCGCAAATAGTCCGCTGTGAGTGCAGCGAGTACGTGTCCCGGTCGCAGCCGCTGCCGGCGCGCGAGGCCTGCAGCGACACGGCGGCCTGTATGCGCGTCACGCCGGGGCAGCGCTCGTCCGACTGACACGTCTCCAGCCGAGCCGCCGGGAACAGGGCTAGGGGACCCGAGCCCGGGGCGTAGTCTACGCGCTCCGCCACTCCTGGAACATCAGCATACATACATGACACTTATGGCCCGTTTCCAATGCTCTAGATTAGTGGATGCCAACCGGTGGTCCATTGACCACTAGTGGTCCGCAGAAGATAAAAACTTGTCTGGGGAACGTACAAAATATACACAAACTATTCTGTCTAATGAGTGAATGTATTCTTATTGTGTATCACATGATAAAAGTAATAGTAATATTGGCCAATAACCTAAGAAGAATGATGAAAGGGGTTCTTCACCAGGAAACAGTTGGGAACTCCTGCTCTAGATAGCCTATAAATAACGTAATTTGTATGAACTATAATATGAAAAACGCCCTTATGTATTGTGTTTAGAAGATATATTGTCTAGACAAACATAGTCTCAGCTTCAATTTAAGACTCGGTGAGTTTTCACACGGTTGCTGATAAATGACAAGTAGTCATTATGTAGGTAACAATGTCGGTAGATGGCCTTGAAATAAAAACAATTACGAATGGCAGTAACACAATTCGATTCGTCCCCATCATTGTGTTTAAAAACATAAAAATTAACTTTCAATTCAAATCCTGGATTACATTACCATTAGATACCCATTCCATCAGATAATAAAAGCATTGTCCTACACCATAATTGAACCCTCAATGATCCGTAACAACTGATCGCTTAACGACTACAACAAAAATGTAAACTGTGGCTGTCTATCGCAGTGGAGCCAAATTAATTTCTTTACTAAACATTAATATTATTTTAGAAACTATTCAATTCAAAATGAAATTACAATTACACATTCCTATTCAATGAAATAAACTGTTTCTTTGACGAAACTTTCAATCAAATATACAAAAGAAAATATAAATAACTTAGGAATAATTTCTGTGGAGACGACAGCACTGATATGCATTGTACATTGATATGTATACCATTTACTTACTTCTTTCATCAGACTTCAGACTTTATATATAGAGGAATAAAGTTGTGAATCAGTCTGAACGATTACTAGTCCAGATTTAAATTGATTTTAAACTTTATAGCAATAGAAATAAAGTTGTAATTAGTTTGTACGTTTTCTTGTCCAGTATACAAGTATGGCGGTGTCTTAGTAATGAATAAATATCGCAATTCCTGGATTGTCCGATTACAGTTCATTATAATAATCCCGCAGTAATCCCGCGGCGGGCCGGTGCGGGCCGGGGCGGGTCGGGGCGGGACATCAATTATTTAACTAGGTTTACTTAATGTATAGTTTGTCGGTTTGTTGTGTTGAATACAACGGCTCGGTTCCGGGAATAGTTCTATAGTAGGTACTGTAGTCAGGAAGTATTTGTTGCTATTTTGTTGCTGTTGCCAATGCGAATAACATGTTTTAAGGTCTGATTGTAACTGGCTGTAATTATATTTGTCCAAAATAGCATGAGTTTGAAATAAAAAGTTCCTCGTGAAATGTGACGTAGCGGAATATTGTTGTAGCTTGGAGGCTGGATGAGATCGCCTTCCTTTCGTGATATAAAACGGGCATGCGACTAAACTCATACTAGACATAGACTATACATAGACTAAAGTCAGTGCCAAACCACCGTCAACCGTGGACAGAATTACTCGACCACCACGAATTGATTACTGTCTAAGAAAACATTCCATCTTATGAAGTTATGATCACTGAGTTACTCACCCTTCCATCCAGCCCTGCAGGGTTTGTTGACCTTGATGGTGACCATGACAGGCGCTGACTGCATCATGCCGCAGTCGTACGCCACCACCGACAGGATGTGGTTGTGCGACTTCTCGTAGTCCAGGGCTTCAGTGTTGCGGATCACACCTTGAGAGATGAAGAAAGACTTTAACTATGATGATGGCAATAAGAGTAGGTAAGTAAAACCTATTGTCATATTTTGTTGACGTTCAAAAGTCTCATTGATATAAACGATTGTGACTTTGACTTTGATTAAAAATTTCAAATCGGCGATATCAAATTTTTAATTATAAATTATAAGTTCAGGTTTCCTCACCGTTTGTCAGTGATGTCTAAATAATCTTACAAAGTACATATAACTCGGAAAAAGTCACATTGGTACTTTCTGTTGGTAGGTTTAGGCCTTAGATCGATAGATTCGTCGGCTATGTATATAGGAAGGAAATTAAAGATGTAATCTGTTAGAGAATCAGATCTCACCTTCGTTGTCGATAGTGAACGGCTGGCTGCGGTCGGTGAGGATCTCATACTTGCAGACGTCCCCGTACCGCGGCGTGCAGTCTCTATCAATGGCCTCCACTCGCAGGATCTCATCGTAGATGCGACCTTCGTCCACTGACTTCACGTAGGCTGCCTGACTGAACACCGGGGCGAATTCGTTCACATCCGTCACTGTTATGTGAACTGGTACCCTGTGGGAGGAGTTGTTATTTAAAGGATGGTATGTAGACAGGTATAATGGGCATTGGACGACGTCTTTATTGGTACAGAACACTTAGGTGAGTTTTTTTACAATGAAATTGTAATATTTGTGTATTGTAACACTTTCGCCGTTCTACTGTCCTCCATGCCTATTGGTAATTGGGTGATCAAATGTAATTTAACTCGTCGAGTACCGTCATTATAGACACAATTATAGAACAATAGGTTGCGGTCACCGGTGACCGCTTGGTGTTTGACAGTTTAAACAATGACCAATCATAATATCGATGTAGATAGAATGTAAAGAGATAAAACAGTGATGTTAAGTTAGAATATTTCAACTCATAAATAAGAGTCCTAATGTGACTCAAAAGTAGTAGAGTTTTTCTCGAAGAAAAGCCAATAATAAAAGAAACTATACAGCTAGTTTACATACGTGTTTGAGTAAGAGCCGTCGCATCCTACGGCGGCGATATCAAACTTGTAGTTGCGGCGCTTCTCGCAGTTGAGCGGGTAGCGCACGCGCAGCCGGGCCTCGTTCTCATCTATCACCATTATCTGGAACAATTAGAAAACATTGTTAATTACATTCAAATATTCCAATTATAACAAATTCGAAAGTGTGTTTTCACTTTTCACAAACCTATGTCACCTCTTTACGTATTATCTACTTTACTAATCTTCTTGAAATCTTGCGTACATACATATATTTGGAAGTAAATAAAGAAGGCAAAGGCAGGCACAGCTGCGGGTAAAAGTTAGTTGATTGTACTTGTGTTTTAATTCTTTTAGGATTTTCTCCTGTGTCGTGTGTGCGTTTACAAAGATACAAGTTCACATACACATGACACCCAGACCCGGAACAACTATTTGTGGATCACACAAAGAGTTGCTCCGTGTGGGAATCGAACACGGCCGGTTGCCCAGCCACCGCAGTAACCGTGTCGTGAAAACTTGTCTTTACTAATCAAACTGAACATTACAGTTTACTTACAAACCATACGAGTCAACAGCGGTATAAGGAACAACTACCACTGCTGATCTGTAGGTAGTGACTTCGAACCCTGGGTCGGCTGAATTACCATTACAACCACATAACCGTCTACACTATGATATTACTAATAAAAATATGGCGGTGCATGGCAATCGTGTCCACTATTACAGGGGACCCTCATAACATAAATATGTTCAAATGAGGCTCTTACTATTTAGGTGCACCTCTCCCTATCACCGGGGATGAATAGGCGTAATGTTATACGTATTTTATACGTTAAATACAAATATTAGGTTTTTACCTAAGAAATTATTGCTTCCATGGAACAATGTGACTTAAAAATTTAAAATGCGATGAAAACAGAACTGAAATTATATTGAAAAATCTGTTACTTTAACTGATGTAAACTTGGCTTTAGTATCGTCTCAAAACTAAATAAAGCTAGTTAGAATTTTTTTATTGTAATTAAATTTCTTTGTAGATTTATTAGTTTGGGCCATGGATTTTTGCGCATAAACATCTTGCATTGATTTTAAACGCAGGTATATAAAAAATGGACGGCTTACAATCATCGACCTGTAACACATTTACATCCACATCCGTAATCTTATTCAATACACTTCAACATCCTGAGTGAAATGAAAAAAACATGTCATCGCTTCCACAGGCACAATCTTCGCAAACAAATCGTACTAAACAAATCAAGCTTAACGAAATAAAACCGAACAATACAATACAGTAGTATCAATACAACAATCTATCCAATACCGTCCCATCCGGGACAATCCGTGTACCACCGACCTATCAACTCCACCGGACCGGACAAAGTAGAAAACTTATCCGGCCCGACCATAATTCCCATAAAATATTTGTACGTCCTTTAATGAAAATGATTCCGGTCAGTAATGGACAATGGCATTGTTATGTGTCGCCATGGTTACGGCACGGGACAGAATCGGGGCCTTTATAGCTTCGAGATTAATGTATGAAAATAAATTATGTGTTGTTTGTGGGCTAAGAACGGTGTGAATGTGGGTCGCTGGTCGCAGGTACGTCCGGTGACTTTGAGACAGATTTATAGGCCCTGGGTACAAAAATAATCCGGAAACTGGGCCAAAAGGTAAGTTAAAGGTTTGAGATGGGACGGTGAATGTCAGATCGTCTGCTGTGTTTTAAACCGGGTGGATACGATACCTGAATCTTAGTATGTTTTATCTGCAAGTATTTCATGCAGGTCTGAGTGTAGTCACGAGATTTATGCTATGGGAAATTATCCAACTTCATTTTGAAAATAAAATAGAGTAAGAAAAAAATGAATACTAGCAATCATTCCATAGCAATTACTTCTGCCCAAAAATCCGACCACAAAATAGATTAGGAAAGCACTAGGCTAGAGATAAAGTTTTGCTGACTCCAACTCATTAAATAAGTAAGATACTGAATTGATACTGATGCGGACCTCTTTACTGAGAAACTCAATTACTCACAAGTCAAGTAAACTGTTCCAATAAGTGAATGTATCGGAAAAAATACCGAGAATCGGTAACTACGGTCAACAATCGACTTTCGATTATATGAGGTATAAGACCTCTTGTAATAAAACGTCGTGCTTATTATTTCGTGAAGAGGTAAGCAGAGTGGGGCACAATCCGAACAATACAATTGGCATGTCATTAGTACTCTATAGGCCATGCACCAGGCTCAATATCGCATTATGGCACGGCCCGACAGGGCATTTTCTTTTTAAAACGTTGCCCCACACTTATTTTCTCGTGTATCGTGGGTACGTTTACAAACATACAAGTTCACATACACATAACACCCAGACCCGAAACAACAATTTGTGGATCACACAAAGTGTTGCTCCGTTTTAAAATATTCCATATCTGCTGGTTGGAATAGTAAACCAAAATACAATCTTTATATAACACTTGAAATGCAACAAAGGAATGGAGTGAAATCCACCGACAGATTTACGCATACTATTTCTATTTTAAATTTTTATTTATTGAAATAGATCCACGTAATACAAAATTTTGATAGGTTTTGATCAACTCCATCCACCATATTATGACATTAATAGCCACAAAATGGCTTTATTCAAATCCAGTAGTCCTGCCGAAGGACAATTATAAGAGACTTAAAACTTATAATACACAATTTAATTACCTTATGCAACAAACCAGCCTGGATTAATGACACCTATCAATATCCACACCTGCAAACCCCACTACTCACTCACTCACTCATGTAACATATTCCTCACCTCCACACGTAACACGGGAGTGAACTAGGTTCGATGCCGTGCAGTGCATCGATTGCCTGTCAGCCTCGTGGTTACTACTAGTGCACTAAATCACTGAACTTACAAGCCCTGAATTTAGACTGTAGAATAGATTCGGTAATACTTTGATATATTACTGTTTTATACTACATTGTTGTTGCTGAAAGATGAGTGGGTTCATAAACTTATTAGCTCCTGCCCGCGGCTTGGAACGTGTGACCGTGGGATAAAACGTAGCCTATGTGTTATTCCAGACCATAATCTATCCCTGTTCCAAATTTCATTCCAATCCCTTCAGCCGGTTTGACGTGATTGAGTAACAAACATACAGTCATACAGACAAATTCACGAACTTTCACCTTTATAATATTGGTAAGATTGTGTACGTTTTCCAGCAATACTAGAATTAGCGTTGCTGACCTTTTAAGGAATGGAAAAAAGATTAGGAATTTTGTGATACTGGTCGTTGCCGTAGTCTACATAGCAATAAACTGTAGTAGCTTATATGACTAAATCATATTACAAGTAAATTTAAAATTCCATATGTGTACCTGTGCATATCCCTTCGGGGATTAAAGCTCATTATTAATTGTTATGTTTGAAGACAAAATATGATAAAGTGCTAAACTGACCCGAAGGGTTGGCAACACAAATTAATTATCATTTAGATAATATTGACGAAGCTCTTAAATATTATATTGATAAACAACCAGCTAGTAACTAGAATTACTCGGAGGTATGGAAGTAGTTGAGTGTAATTAATATTTCATGTGCTTTTAAGTAATTAATTAATTAATAGTAATTAATAATAGTAGTGGGGTACCATCTTCCTTGATATCGGGACGAAGCATTAAGTAACGTGATGGAAATAGTGCCAGTTAATTTATAGGCACATTATACTCAGCAAATAGTTATCTATTTCATATCCCGAGCATTTAATACTATCAAATAATATTAAGAAAATTACTTCTTCAGTTATAGTTAGAATCTCTAGGATATTACCGAAAAAGTTTTTTAATACAACATGGAATATCTTTAAGGACCCTTCTCGTTTAGGGAAGATGAAGAAGACTATAGATTTAGAACTGATTCGTGAGAATGTGCGAAGCTTGAGCTTAAATACCAAGGCATTAGGTAGGCATTATTTTTTCTCTAAAATCTCAACATAATACGAGTTGATTCCACAAAACACAAAGCCATACAAACACCAATAGACACGCCCACTTCCTTATCCCGTCAAAGAAAATCCTCGAGATTGCGCAATAACAGTTGGACCTACCCTCATTTCATCTAAATCAAGAGCATTACGGAACCGAGTCCTAAAACCAAACACCGGCCGCGTGTTCAAACATGGCCGACAATAAGGTTGTATTAGGCACGACGTTGATATATCGCAGCGTCCTCACGTGTTGACATACACTGCTTTCTCTGCTCATACCTTCAGTGCAATAGCAGAAAACTTAGATTTAGATGTTATTCTAATATTTCGGACCTATATGTCCTCAAATGTCCATAGCAGCTTAAGGAATACGATTGTGTAATTTACGGCTTTCGGATCTTTTTAGGTGTATTTTGTAAGAGCAGATAGACACTCAAATTGGGTAACAAGTTTATATATAAATGAGATAAGTTATGAAACTGGACCAAAATAGCGTTGAACATCACAAACAACGATTACATTTGTTTACCGTTCCCAATAACGCGAAATTATTTTAGAGACTAACAGATTACATTTCATCTTATACTATTATATAAAGCGGAAGCTGTTTTTTCGTTTGTTTGTTTGAACGCGCTAATCTCCGTAACTACAAGTCTGATTTGAATAATTCTTTTTGTGTTGGATAGCGCATTTATCGAGGATGGCTGTAGGCTATAAAACATCGCGCTACGACTAATAGGAGCTTAGCAGAGCATGTAAAGACTATAATCGTGAACACTATAAATTTGCCATTAGTTACACACGAAACGCTACAAGACATAAACCAACCTGACTTTGTAACCGCAATACAATACAACACACAGTAGCATTGTAGAACCACTCCAAAAGCCGAAACTGTAAAGTCTAGACAATGTAAAGTTGCAGTTATTGGTTCTTCAAACCTTCGACAAAGTTCCGCCGCCGGCGCCGTACTGCGGTGCAATCTGAAGCAACTTGCAACTTGTGTAACTGACGTCTACGTATGTTGGAAGTGGCACTTCACGTCATTTTATATGATGTTACCATTGCCGGATCGTCTTTAGTGGACCTTACTTTTATTCTATTTCGAGTAGCATCGTTGGCTGATAAACCTGGACATTATATAGAGGAAACCCTGAGTCCAGTAGTGGACCCTCATTGGCTGTTGATGATGCCAACATTAAAAAGTTTTTGTCGTATAGTATCACATCATCATCACACCTTTTATCCCTGAAGGGGTATGCATAGGTGCACATTACGGCACTTAATGCCAATGTACAATGTAACACTCCCTTTTCACTATTTATGTTATGAGTCCCACGTAATAGAGGGTGAGCCTATTGCCATATATCAGGCACAATTCCAAACTCCAAGCTACCACTGAATGTTTTTATAGCAAACCCATACTTTGTCCGGCAGTCGCCCTTGCGATCACTCGGCTAACGAAGCAGAGCAGCAGCAGTGTTTAATGGTATCCTAATTTATCCTAATACAGACTGACATCACTGACAGTAAATAGAATACATAGAAAATACAGTATAGGTACACCATCTAACAACAAAATGAAAAACTACACGTAAGAAACTTTCTTTCGCGGAAAATAACAAACAATTTGATGAAACTAATTTCACAAAGATTTACGAGCCACCACGTGCGGACTGGCAGCTCGCAAACTCACAAATACTCTACATCCTTTATTTAGAAACATCACGGTGGATGAGGAATGTAATTTATTAATATGTAACTGTTCATACGAGGTTAAATAAAGACCAAAACTCCTGACATACTGAACAACTGAAGGCTGTACAAAAATCGTGTGTCTGTGAGTGGCGGGCCTGACACCTGCCAGCTCAAACTCACTGAAATTAAATTTAAAATGGACTTTGTTTTTTTCAGGTTTTGTTTCCTGCTACAGGGGTTAATTGCAAATGAATTTTGTGTTTTTTTTTACGTCAATGACAGGAGTTGTCCTATCATCGTAGGGGACAAAAATACTTAACAGTTTGTAGAAAATTATTTTTAATTGATTAATTATTCAAGGCTTTATCGATGACAATGTATATTAGATAGGTACCTATTTACTACAGTTTTCTCTATTTTTAACAGTGTTTCATGAAAATATAAAAATTGCACGAGACTTTTATTGGTTTATTAAAAAGTTGTTTTAAAGCTTCGAAAAGAATCGCAAACATTCTCGACCGCTCGACATACAATCAACAATGTTGTTTGCTCGCAACAGTTCGCCCCGGGCCGCGCGCCGCGCGCCCGCCAGCTACCGTCGCGTCGCACCTTTAAAAAAGCCGAGGCCAGCTTTTAAACAGTTTGCGATTGCAAACTACCTGCATTGATGCACTTTATTGCATGCAATCCCAACTTTTTCCATTTCTAGTTATCGTGTGCACAATAAAACTACATACAGAGGACGACATTTATTACTACGGAGAGTTTATATGGCGTGGTGCACGTTACATTGCTGCGCGGGTACGTTGCAAATGGGTCTTGTTTACGAGTAGAGCGCGCAATGTTTCCGTTGATTTAGTGTGGGGTCGTGTCATCGCATAGTGCGGGGATATCCTTCATTGGGATGCGTTAATGAGTTTACTGGTGTCGCGGGACAGAGGTTAATGTGATGTCGTTGTGTAGCTTGCTGCCTTCTTCACATTAGCTCGCCTGCAGCAGTTCGGCTCCTTTGACTTAAGGCTAACTATACTAAAACTACTTCACTGTAGAACGCAAGTAGCTGTCTGAGTACTAACCTCGAATGGAGCTTCCCCATGGTGCTTGTTGTTCAGTATGAGGAAGGAGCAGAGCGGCCCTCTCGCTCGGATGGCAGGAGTCACCTCTACCAGGGTCTCGTTCTCCTTGATCAGTCCATGGTAGCCCTCCTCCGGCTCTGCCAGCTCCAAGTATGGAATGTCTGCAAATAATAATAAAAAATATTTAAACAAGGAATTTCCTTTTATGTTCACAGTAATCTTTGTAAAAGCTTACCTAAATTATAATTTGTTACAAACTATGACATTTCCTTTGTTCCCCAACAGTCTATAATTCAAAGACGTGTAAAAGTTTGGAATGAAAAACTAATTTCGTTACAATCAAGAGAACGTCGGCCATTAAATATTCAGTAGTAAAATTTAATAATTTGCTCGAAGGACCAGGGCCTGCCTCCGGAACAGGCTATAACCGTTAAGGAGGCTATTAGCCTCTCCGTCGGAGAGGGCTATCCGCTGATTTTAATGAAATAGCCTTCGCCTCACAATCCGATGCAGTGTAAGGGCCCATTTTGGGGACACTGAAAGCCCATTTTTGGGACGATCTTGTGTAATGTCCGCTCGTGTGGGCGGAGGCTAAATTAAATTCATGACGCGACTGAGTAGCGGCACGTAAGTACTTTCGTTGATATTTTATAACATTTACTCCGTGGCATCCACAGAGCAGATTTACTAAGTAACGTGGAAACCGAGCGATACGATGAATAGAGTGCCACATAAAAACTGCGCTCGTAAACCGTTGCCCCGGACCCGAATAGGTACTACTGCCTGACTTTACACTAGGACCTGCGCACTAGTTTGAATCACGTGAGATCACAGAGGACTGTCCAGGAATACGAGATTGTTTACTACTAGGTGGGGCGCAATATCAGCTGATTTGTCTCTAGTGTTAGCTGTGCCCTCAGTCTGCAACGTGACCCACACTAGCTTCAGTAGGCCGATCAATCGCCACTGCTCGCAGTTTTCCTGTTATTCTTGTCTTGTTTGAATAATGGAATATTTCCCGATTTACGAGGTGAAGGGTTGAGCCGCGGCGGCAATTGTTTGTGCTACAGAAATGTGACTCAAATTCGGGGTTCTGTGCAAATATGTGCTCGGTGAGCAAAAATGTGGGTCCAAACGTTCGTGATTTCTTTTGTGACTTTTTAAAGCAGGTTTTGAGGCAGCTTTGTTTGTTTTCCAAACGGAATAAATAAACAACAAAGCGTAGAGACCATATCGTAAAGTTTTAAAGTTGTTCTCTCAGCATCATAAAGCTACAGCTGAATTTCAGATATCGTGAGCTTACAGTCAGATTGTTGTATCGGAAATCTCCTGGCATGAAATGTGTTTACATCAACAAAACTGAAATTTGATTCCGCGACTGATATTGTGCCTGAAATCTGAACACATTCGTTGTTGTGCCAAGAAGAAGTTTGACCCAGCAACAATTACAGCGATACATTTTATTCAGAACATGAAATACTTTCATAAAGTATGAAAAGCTTCTTTCTTATTTTGTATCGGAACATTTCGATCGGAAATGTTTGTGAAATGTATAAAAACTTGGAGATGGAAACTTGATCGTATTAGCTCATTGTCGAGTTGGACATTTTTGGCATTATGTGATTAAATAACGGATAATAATGTATCAACAATTTACGTAGTCACGTAAATTGTTCTTTAGGACTTCTTTATAGTCACAAAGATTGAAGTTTATTACAATAATTTTCTTAGCACCAACTTCCCCTCGTCCATTAACCCTCGAGTTACTTAATAACCAGCGCGAGGTGCAAAGAATGCCTGCATTGCACCGTGTTGCACTGCAGACCATAAATACTACCCTTAGCACTCTCGCTAACTTACAACTGCGCAACAAGATAGCTATTTCCATTCTAGATTTTTCTTTTAAACCTAGATTACCATGAAACTTTATTAGCATTAAACATTACTAGTGTTCCCCCACAAAACGGTTTTAAATAACAACTTGCAAAACGGCAAAGAGGAAAAGGTTAAAACAATCCTCATTTGGAATACAGAAACATTCGGAATCGACATCGGGACTCGAGTACTTAGCATGTAAACTGCGCACTCTTGAACACAAAAAGGGCTCAAAATTTTCTACTACATTAATTAAAAAGAGGTCATTATGCGAGACGAGAGGTAATTTTGCTCGAAAAAAAGGGTTGAAAAATATTTTTTTATTTTGCCTTTGAGGGTAGTCCGTCATACAGGGCGCTTTGTTTAGTATTCACAGACAGTGTCGTTGTGGTGCCGCTGCGGTGACGCTGCGGTCTCGGACTTGGTGTGAACGCGGCCCTGCCTACACCCAGTCGCTGAATTATTGCGTACAAGTTTCAGTTTTGTTTAAAGAACTGGCTGATACCGGTTTCATTTTCATTGTTTTCGATTTTTTGTTTGGGTTTGAATTACTTCTACTCTCTTTATGTAACATGTCATAGATAGCTGTCAGAATGTATCATATCCTAAATGTGGATAGTTAAAGAAGGGTTGCATAAAGAATGATCCCATTTTACAAAAACACATAAGCCAACAAAGTTATGAACAGTTACATCCCTCACAACTAAATGGCGGAACAAAAACAAAGTTTAGTGCCAATGGGAACAGTCCTCTCGAATAAATATTGAATAATACATTAAGCATTATTTATCGGTTTGTTGATTCCGGAAGAGAAAAACATAAACACAGCCAATACGAACAACAACGACAATTTATAATAACAATATCCCGGAGACATAACCGTACGTTCTATTTGTCGCTTGGGTACATAAAGTCAGTGGAAATACAGCTTACAATAGGAATGGTCGTAAAAAGAAATGGTACATGTAGTTTTCGCGTCAAATGGACTCGCTAAATACCGGACTGACATACATTTACGGTGGCAGTTGTCGCGTAGCGACGACCAGCCTTTGTCGCGATGACGTGTAGCGTCAGCAGCGCGGCGGCGCGAGCAAAAAGTTTAGATTTGTTGGTCCCATGCTGGGCGCCAATAACAGGCACTGCGGGTATTGTGAAATGTTTACACTTTCTGCATTCGAGTTCGCGTTGTTTTAAACAATTTATATTAAATTGCTTTCTGTCGATTGATTACATGTTGTTTGTAATACATTTATTAAAGAATGATGAAACAGTTTGTATTTATGTAAATTCTCTGTCACCACAATAAGCACATTAATACGAGGTCTGTTGGTACAATTTAAACCGCATTCGATTTCCATCCATCAGTCAAGACTTACCACTAAATGGAATCGCTAAACAGGCAACGCTCGAGTGCAGTAATTTACACACACACTGACAAACAGACAAAGCGTGTTTACACAGACTCGGCTCTAAACAAGGAAGTACAGCACTGTGTCAGTGTAAAACATGAACGAGCCAACATACATCTATATATATAAAAATCAATGCCACTTTTCGTTGTAATTCCATAACTCAAGAACGGGCTCACCTATCCAAACCAAATGCTTAGGATTTGGTTTGGATAGGTAGTAGATGGTTTATGTGAAGTTTGCACAAAATCGGTCGAGCGGTTCCTCATTTGTCACATTTTTTGTAATAAATGAATTCAATAGAAACTTTTTTCACAGAAACTTTTTTGAAGTTTTGTTGACAGGACAAGCACGTTGTTATGTCATTCATGCCGTCAGTTCATTTTGGACGTGGTTTGATTAAAGCATATTATCAGCGATAAATTTCTTTTCACATAATTGCATTTGCAGTGCATTCATACAAACGGTGAGTCCTGAATTTATGTGTACTTTTCTAAGTTGCCGTATATGATTTCACATAGCATCATATGCGACAGCTTCTTGGGAATTTGTTTTTTTTTTGTGACCGCACCAAATCGTCCCATGCATGATTTGTTTGATCGTGAATTGCAACGTGAGCAGGAATTCAACTGTAATGATTTGCGTTTATTTGTACAATCGAATATAACCAAATTAAATATTCAGCAAAAACATGTATATGATACAATCATGCAAGCCGTTTCCAATAATGCAGGTGGATTATATTTTTTGGATGCACCTGGTGGCACAGGTAAAACGTTCGTTATATCATTGATTTTAGCGACTATTCGATCAGATCAGAAAATTGCACTAGCACTTGCATCTTCGGGAATTGCTGCTACATTATTAGAAGGTGGTCGGACCGCACACTCTGCATTAAAATTGCCATTGAATGTACAGGTGATTGAAACTCCAACTTGCAATATATCGAGAAATTCTGCTATGGCAAAAGTTCTGCGATTAACGTCAATTATTTTATGGGATGAGTGTACAATGGCGAATAAAAAATCACTAGAAGCATTCAATCGAACAATGCAAGATTTACGTGGTAATCAACAGCTTTTTGGTGGTGCTTTGATATTACTTTCAGGGGATTTTCGTCAAACATTGCCTGTCATTCCTCGATCAACTCCTGCTGATGAAATAAATGCCTGCTTGAAGTCATCAGTTCTTTGGAGATATCTACAAAAATTGACACTAAACATTAATATGCGTGTTCACCTACAAAATGATCCAGCTGCCCATGAGTTCTCAAAACAATTGTTAGAAATTGGTGACGGCAAAATACAAATCGACAGAACCAACGGATTGATCGCTGTACCGAACAATTTTTGTACAATTGCGCAATCGATAGATGAATTGATTGAATGTGTTTTTCCGAATATTGTTCAGAATTACAGAAATCATGATTGGTTGACAGAACGCGCCATTTTAGCACCGAAAAACATTCATGTCAATGCAATTAATTTTCAAATTCAAGCGAAACTGCCAGGCGTAGTCACGAAATATAAATCAATTGACAGTGTTATGAATCAAGATGAGGCAATGAATTATCCAATTGAATTTTTAAATTCATTGGAGCCGGCTGGTATGCCACCGCATTGCTTGAATCTGAAAGTTGGTTCTTCGATTATATTATTGCGAAATATTAATCCACCAAAACTGTGTAACGGAACCAGATTGGCAGTGAAAAAGTTATTGCCAAATTTGATTGAAGCTACGATCTTAACTGGTAAATCAAAAGGAGAAGTTGTTTTGATACCGCGTATACCTATGATTCCAACTGATATGCCTTTTGAGTTCAAACGTTTACAATATCCTGTGCGTTTATCATTTGCGATGTCCATCAACAAGGCCCA